ATTTCATACTTTTTCAATAAACAAATTTTTTACCATTTTCTTAAACACAAAACATAGGCGAAGCATTTTTACAATCATTATCAAGAACATTCCACAGTCTAATTCCTTGCACAGACGTGCAGCGTTCCTTCAAACTTGTTTGAATTTTAGGCTTCACGAACAATTCCAGTCCCTTGAGATTATAATTACCAACTCTCTTTATGAAGTGTAATTGAATTTTCCAAGGTAAAACATTTGTATGAGCTCTAAACGTTGTTTGTAGAAGTCTTTAATTCTTACGCTGAAGCCATCAGAGCAGCGCTGCCCGAAACCAGAAGTTCCGGTCTCTAATATATAAGGATCATCAGTGCCTGGTACGCCCACTACAGGCCTACGGCTGAATCGCAGACACTCTGAACAGCAAWGCTCATCTAACGTTTTTAACAACGGTTTATTATGTGTTGTCAAGGTGTTTCGGGCATGTACCTAAAACTATTTTAATCAGGACATTACAATAGTCTAACAATAGATTACAAAAGTCAAGCCTTAAAAAGGAAACTAAGACAAATGGTGYGGTGCTTTRAATCAGTATCTAACTAATAAATTCCTTCAATATTGGGCAGCCAATGAGAACAGTGAGCTTATTCTGCACTCGGGTTTTGACTTTGAACACGCCCAGTTCCCTCTCTATTACCATTCCTCTCTATTACCATTCCTCTCTATTCACAGATGTCAAACCAAACCTAAATGTGTAACATGATAACTAAGCTAATTCAAAACGCTTCATAGATCACAGATAAAAGTGTTCGGGTCTCGTTTAGCTGAGAGGTTTGAGAAAGTAGTTTGTTTCAGTAAAGCCAGGAGGCGGAGCTACAACCCTGCTAACTGAAACGGGAAGTTCAGAGCGAGGAGGCGGGGATAAGCGAATTCCTTTCMCTTTTTTATTTTGCAGCAAACCCGCAAAGTTATATCTGAATGACAAAGCAGCCGCAAAGGATGCTGGGAAAACAAAARAAAATTCTGACTTTTGCCAGTAGTTTTCAGTGTGGACTTTTATTGCTTGACAAATTTTTGTTTAAAATTTGGCGTGTCACGGTTGCATGTGAAACAGAATATTTTTGGGTTTATTAAGAATATGGAGACATGTATTCTAAGATTATTAACAAAAAAAACAATGATATTTTAGCAGAAGTGAAGTCTGTTAATTAATAAAACTAATGCAAATGCTAAATGGCTCAATAAAAATTAGTTACGCTATTAGCGAGTTAGCGGATGCACGGGACAGTGCCCACCTCTGTCCTGAAGGAACACGTACCGCTCACCACATTTCATGCTAGAGCTTTAACATTGGTTGTGAAACAATGAAGCCATTTTGGTTAAATCTTGAAAAAGAGTCAACTCTAAAGGTTTTGAACTCAGATCTTGTGTGATCAGTTTGTGCTCAGAGTTGAGGAAGACTCTTGGCTACATCCCACCAAATTTRAGCTCAATATCTAAAAAAATAACAGTTAACATTTTCTTTTGGCTAAGGTTGCTATGCTGTGGTGTCCATCTTGATCCAGTAGGTTACTTTGAGAGTTTTATTAAAATCCCTGCAGCGGTTCATGGACAAATGTTCACACAAATATGCTTCAAAGCATCATCRCCCGCTGTCTGCCGATCACAGCAATCGATCCTGTTCTACGAGCTGRAACCATCACAGCAACGCTATTAACCTACTTCTGAATGCACCACAGAACAAGACCACGTTTAGACATCAGTCTGCRCCCCCAAAGCTCTCTTTGAGGCCCCGACCCAATCAAACAGCCTGGTGGAAAAAAAAGCTTTATTAAAATGGATGATGTGCCCGACAGGGTGGTACGTCAGCGAGGCTGAGCGCGCCGTGAATCCCAGACGCCTTCCTCTAAAACTCTCCACTCTCACGGACTGTTAGCTCCAGTTTCTGCACCGGCGAGCCTCGCTCCCTCGGCCATCAGTCATGTTCAGGGGTCCGGGCAGGGGGCAGGGGCTCGGCTCGCTGSTCTAGCACCACAAGGCCCAATTATGAGAAGACTTTCAGACAGAAAATAGGTCAGATAAAAACAAGAAAACCAGGTAATTGAGTGTTTTTACAGTAGTCCTGAAACAGGAAGCAGCATGCTTCTGCAGAACCTTATTTTTTAATCAATAAATCAAACAAAGCAGCTTAAACTATATGCGAGCTGTATAAACGCTCATTAAACGGCAGGGGAAAGAGGAAAATGGTTGTTCAGGAGCTGCGGAAATACGCTGAAATCACAGCAATTTACACTGTGTCATCTTTTTAATCAAGCGCAAATATTGTACAACTTCAGCCTGTGTTTACCCACCTCCTCAGCTAAGTACACACTGCAGACGCTCACCAGCTAGGTGATCATTTTGTTGGCGATTTCAGACAGTCTGAGAAGAAGTTTTATTTATTTTCCAAGCCAGGTTTTAATTCGTGTGAAAACATTCAAATTTTTACTTTTTGCTAACCTTTTATAATTTTTTAGCTTTAAGCTAGCTTTTTCTTTACCTTTCATTCTCCTCCATTTGACCYAACTAGTTTCTAGCTAGCTAACTAACTAGTTTCAGCTTCTTTAGCCGATTTCAGGGAAATCATTCAGGGCATTTCCTCTCATTTTTCTTTAAACATTTTTTTCTTTACTCTTTGCAAGCCAAACAACCAGTGGACTTGTTTTCAGAAGCAGGTGCCGCAGGAACCTGTGGAGACTAATTGATGGCAGGCGGATGCAAAAGAAAACGCCTTAAAAAAACCTCCTTCTTCCTGTGCATTCATCCATTTGCAGTTATAAATCTCTGCAGATCTAATCTCCTGCTTTATGAAGGTGACTAATGCCCACACACTGTTTATATCACGGCTCGTGCAATTTAAGCAGCCAAATGAAGCATCTTTTACTAATGATGACTTTGTGCGAAACCACAGGAGAATGCAGAATATTATTATAATTCATTCTAAAATTAAAATAAAACGAGTTAAACCTAATTTAACTGTGATTTATGCATCACAACAAAGCTAAATTGTGAGGTAACTATGTATCTTATGTGGAAATAAAACAAGAATTTCATGTATTTATGAAAAACCTGGTAAGATGAAGTCCTCAAAAAAGAAATAAAATAAAAATAAAAATCATGCAGATTTTGGACTCTGTAAACACCCTCCTCATATGTTTTCTAAATAGCCTACTACTCTTGAAACTTTTGGACCTAACAACCCTACTGAGAGGAGAGGAGAAAAGTACTGAGCTGAACGAGACGACTGTAAATGAGAGCTGCTGCTTTGTCAGACAAATTTAATTKAWTTTGGAAGCCTTATCAACACAGACTGGCTTCATTCACTTCCTCCACTGCCATTGCTAAACTAACTAGCAGACACTGCGCAGAAAATCAACGTCGTTCAAAACTCCGCCTTCTGTTTGCTGATTGGCCCAGTTGAAATGCTCCCAAAGAAATCCTTGTCTATGGGAGAAATCCCAGACGAAGCAATTGAGTGGAACTGCGTAGGAAGGCAAGGGACAGGCTAATTATTAACTATTTTAATCGGTCAACCTGGTTTGTTGGGATAAAAACTAAAATCAAAGACAAAAAAACCCAAATGCACATAAAAATGTTGATGGAAACACAACTAATGAGATTTAGAAAATTGCTCGAGGGGCACCACCTGAAATCTCACCTAGGGCTCCAAACTGACTAGGGCCAGCTCTGGCTGAGGTAAAATCTGGTATGGAAGTAGCTGAGAATCATCCCAAACACATACTCTAAGTGCTGACTCATCAATCAACATCTTGTAATATTGTGAGATTATGTGTAATATTTAAGGTTTGAAATAACTTATTTAGTTAGTTCCTTATTAAAATGTTAGTTTGAAACTTGGGCATGAAAGGTGGTGGGTGAACTGAACAAATATGTAGTTTAGAATAAGCTTTTGTAACTTAAAGGGACAGCTCARATCTTTTTAAGTGGGGTTCGGTGGAAACGTTACACACAAATCCACACATATAAATTTTTTTTATTCCTTATCTTATTTTGTCTTATTTTAAACTCTATTGTTCCGTATTGCTGAACTCAACAACCTAAAGGAAAASTGACTCGCTTCCTTTTAGCAGAAGTATACAAATGTTTTAAAACAGCCAAATTAATGACGGCACTTGATTTACATAACCTTCCTGTATGTAAATGAAGGGCCTGCAGCTGGCTGGTGATGAAATGCTGAATCAAGCCCACACAGAACCAGAACTTGTGGCTTAAAATATTGCTTTTGTTTCTTGGCTGCAGGGTTGGTCGGGGGAAAACAAATAAAGAGCATCTCCGATGACTGAGCGCCGTATCATTAGGCTGACCACAATAAAACATCCTCGTCCGCATATTTCAGCGCTGCAGGATCACCTCAAGATTTTCCAAACAGTCATTAAACCCCTGGCGTGTCACGGGTCTATTCCTGCCTTTAACGGYCGGAAGGTATCAAATAAAACCAAAATGACGATAAATAAAGCGTCACCAGGGAKGGCGACGACAAAAATGGCTTTTTTCAAGTATGAAGAAAAGTGAACATCATGCTGATAAAAGGGGCCACATGAGTGAGTATTTATTACCAGCAGGGCTGCATGAATAAAAATTCCTCTTTTGGGCTTGATTCGTGCTGGGTGGTGTTTTTTTTTTAAATTTAACCGGGTTACGGCTACGATATTTAACGTACCTCTCCAGCTGACTCAGGCTGAMTGCTTACATTGGTATTTTTTGGGGCCTAGAGGAAGCGGTTGGAGGTTGATTTATGGTTCAGCCAGGACGGTGAGTTATGTTCACTAATTTTATAAAACTCCTGCAGCTTTGTTGATTATTCCACAATGGAGGAAGGTGGGGGGGGAAAAAGGGCACGTCTGCACGTTTATTTGCAGCGAAATAAGGTGTTCAGATTATTTTGATAGGTCCCATTATCCTAAAAAAGGGTGGTGAACAAAAACAACAACACTACAAAAGCAGCACAGCACAGAAAGCCAGGGTTAAATGATGAGAAAAACATTGGTGTAGTCACAAACCGTGTCTTTAGAGTGGCCCATTAGGAGGAAATAGGGGGAGCCATGCTTGTCACTTTTCATGCACATGGAGAGACTGGAAGATACCATTCCTAAAGAAGGGGAAGTAACAACCTAGACCAATCAATTAGTGATAGATCACTGAAAATGGACAGAAGATAAACTAGTGTTAGTCAAGACAGAAGAGACAAACAGTTAGCACGATTTTTAAAGCACAATTTAGTAAATCAGAATTCAACCCCAAATCGGAAAAAGTTGAGACGTGCAAAATTAAAACAAAACTAAAACACAGTGATTTGCTAATTTTATAAAGACATTAAAGACACTAAAAACATTTTAAAAACTGTATATCCCTTTTTAAATTATTTATTTATTTATTTTTGCAATGCTGGTGCCTTTCCAGATACACCAGCTGCCAATGTCATTGGCACTAATGTACCCCATACCATCAGAGAGGCAGGCTTTTTAACTGTGTTAATAACAGGCTGGGCAGTCCCACTTATTTAAAACAGAAGACTGGAAGCTGCACTTTTCTACCACTGGGCTGTTTTCAACTTTGCCTTTATGGACTGTAGAGAAGGGCTATTCTACTGGTTGCTTGTGTAACTTAAGTCTGGCCCACCAATGAAAAAATATTTTTATTATTATTTTTTACTTAGTTTATTATGAAAAATAGATTAGTCTTTTACATARAGCCATATATGTCAACTTGTACAGATTGTCCATAAATTGCAGATTTCCCTCCATTTTGCAGGTGAGAGGCATCGAGAAGTCTCACGGATTTTTTCAAATCTGATTTTTTATTTTTCAAAAATTCAGCTTCAAAATTATTTCACATCTCAGAGTCTGTAATAAAAAATATTAAATTAAACAACCATCTCTCACCTGCTTTGCCACTAGAAAAAGGTTCCCCACCTCTCCCCATCCTTCTTTCCCTGCTCTTCTGCGCTGCAGACTCAGTTGTCTGTTGACAGTCCGCTTGTCCTCCTCTTGTCCCCCGTTGTATCGCATTCGAGTAATACAAATTTTTTGTAATTACAGACTTTTAAGGGTTGAGATACAGTTTAACATTCTAAGGGGTTGAAGTGTTTCCCCTACCAATATCAGTCAACTGTCCCCAAATCCCACCCACCTAAATATTTGGCCCCTGAGCTGCTGACTTTGAGTAACCGTGTYCCCCTAAAGAATTTAGGTGAATAGCTCTGCTGTAGAAATAAAAAAATATGGGTTTTATGAAATATGCAAATGATTATTTACCAAATTCTTTCACTTTTTACACATCCCAACTTTTTCAAAAATGGGTTGTACAAGAGTATAAAAACAGAAGGTTTAATATGGATATAAATACATGCCAGAATATTTTATTAAAGATGTATTACAGCAAGTAAGAGTATACAGTTTAAGTGTTAAGAAATGATTCTGAAAAAGGTAATTCTCTGTTGAACATAAATGTTAGATGCTTACCGTACTCTGGGACCTGCCCTGTTCCCCTCTTCAGCAGGAGCCGAACTCGTCTGCCTCCAGATTTGATGAGCTCGATGGCCCTGGCGTGGGTCATGTCYCGAGTGCTCTCCCCGTTGATCTCAATGATTTGGTCTCCGACCTGCATGTTGTTGAGCAGAAAAGAAAGAATGTGTTAATAATTGACTGGAGAGGAAAAACAAAACTTGCAGCTGCAGCAGTGAAGGGACAAAAACAAACAAAAAGTAAACTAAGTTGTTAATGTGGAAAATATAAACAGCTATGAGCTGAAAATATTTTAGTTGATTAAAAAGACATTCCCATGAGAAAAAAATAACTTAGATTAGAGACTTTAACTGCAGGGACCAGAGACTAAAAAAGATTAATATAACACTGCCTGAGTAACCTTAATTAAGATCTATTTGTGTTTATTTGGGCTCTTTTACTTTTTCCACATTACGAGCCAGGGCTTCCCATCTAACAAACAAATCATTTTTAGTGTAGTTTTTCATTAAAATTGTTCTTTTATTAAATATTGACAATAAAAGGATTAATAGGAAGGGTGGAGGAGGAAGCCTCAACCAAAACAGGTGAGATAAATACTGGATTTGTTTATTTTGAAGGCTTTATGAACTAAAAAAAAAAAAAGACAAATTCCTTCTAGAAGATTGCTCTGGAAAAAGGAAAAGAAATCCAGAATGTAGAGAAATATGGAGACAAACAAATAAAACTGAACTTATTAAGATCATTATTTAGCAAATTCTTATACTTAATTTCATGGCTCCACCTCTTCAGGCTCTCTTCCACCTGCTCCATACTTTCACTACAGATCAGTGTCATCAGAAAAATGTCTGAATCTATAAAGACTCCCCCCACTTTCCTGAATGTATTTCCTCCAAGTAAAGGCTAGCTGTAATAGTTGTATGGTTTTGAAATCAAGACAATATCTACAGTGCATTAAAATCCTGAAACATTCCAGCACTTTCAGGACCTTGGACAGGTCCTTCAGCCCTGCACACAGTCTAAAGCAGATTACTAACCAGGGGTATGTGGAAACATTTCCCAGGTGTGTAAAAAATAAATAAAAATAGGACTGAGATATGTAGGGCCCTATGATTTCTGCAATGCAGAAATTGCAGATGGAAACATGGAATTAAAACAAAATGGAATCCAGCATAAAACGTGGAATCTCAACAGAATTTGCTCATTTGGGTGTGTCTCTGACGTATTTTGGACAATACAATGTATTTTAGACACTGGTGTTTTCTGCACCTGCCATTGCCTGCTTTAYGTATTTAATTACTTATTCACTTTCAAGTAGGGTTGGGTATTGAAAGGGTTTAATTAGATACCGGTGCTAAATCGACACTTTCAAAATGGTACCGGTTCCTAAATGGTATTTAAATCGGTACTTTAAAAATAAATAAATAAATAAAACACACACACTCACACAGAGGTTTATGAAGCAATGACTATTTCTGAGGCAAAGTCAAACTTGAAATTGACCAACATATTAACTTAAAACCATTAATAATTTGTCTTTACATCAAATATTCTTAAAGCATTTGTTGTAGGTGGAAGTTTCTGCATCMTAWTTTGTAAAGTGACACCACACTTTGGACTGTTTTGCTTTCRACATCTCGAMTATAATATATAATATATAACTGTTAACTGCAGCAGCACCTGTTTAGCCCCTCTCCATGAACTCGGTTCTACTCGATTCACTTTGGGACAGGTCGGTTCTGCTCAGTGTCTGTGTGTCTCCACGCAGTGTGTCCCTCACTCTGTGGRTGTGATAATGTGTGGACCATCCGCAGCAGCTTCAACTGTTGTATTAAAAAAACAATAATAATAATTAAAATTAAATTAAAAAGCCGTTGTGGTCTTACCGTTCGGACTTCACTTTTAATTAATCAATTAATTTATTTATTTTCATGGTGCTGTTTATAGATAGGTGCTTGTGTAACCATGGGCGGTCATTTGTTGGAAACCTCCCGTCTGCTCAGCTTCGTCTCCTTCAGCTCTCTCTAGGAAGTGTTTACAAGTTCTGCCTTTCTAAAGATCACCAAAAAGGCAGTTTTTTCACCACGTCATCGTATCGTGCTGCACACTTATATTCCTAAACAARAGCAGCTCTCTCCACGAGGAAACTTGCTGTCAATCAATCCAAGAGTTAATCCACAGGCAGAATTCTGCTGACATCAAAATCATAGCTGCTGTACTCGTCTTCTACCCAAACCACCGGAGAGGAGGTTCTGAAACAGCGCGGCTGTGGAGCGCGCTTGGACAGGCACATTGGGCCGAGACCGAGCCAAGTCGAACCTCGTACAAGAGCGTCTGTGGAGACTGTGTGCCAAGGCTGTCACTGTTAACAGTGAACACCAGAGGGCGCAAATTAACAGCTTTCTTTGAGGCACCGAAGTTAAGAGTTGTGTTTCGGTCTGTGTACTACCGTTAATGTTCGCTCCGGTGCCATACTGGAACMGAGTTTCGGTACCCAACCCTACTTTCAAGGCAACGTTTTTAATCTTTGTTTAATTTGAGTTGAAAAAAATGCCTGAGAACTAAACATTCTAGGGGGTAAAATAAATATTTTTCATTTAATAATCAGTTGTAGTACATTATAGTTTTGGAGAATCATCATTAAGTTTGGCTGAAGGAGTACTAGTGGTATGACAAAATGGCTCAGGGTTCACACAAGTCTAAAAAGGTTGGGAACCACTGAATTAAAATATAAGCTGCTTGTGCATGCATTCATGTCGAACTTTAACTCTGCAATATAAAAACTYCAGTTTTAGTGTCTTCAAGGAAAGAATTAGTCTTTAAATTTTTTTAGGCACAAACTTCATGGCTAATGACTCAAAAACCGYCGTGTGCGAGTTCAGATCAGTACAGAAGCTGCGTTTATAGATTTTGGTGCATCAATAAAGCTCTTTGACCAGCAACTGTGAAGCATGTGGAGAAAATAAATTAGAGGAGCTAATGTGCCCCATTCTGGTGTACAAATGACAAAAAAAGCAGATCAAAATAAGTCGCATAAACCTTGTTTTTATCACTTCATCCAGATGAATAACCACAGGAAAAAAAAAACAGGTTTGTTCGAAGACATAAATATCAGCTGGACTGTTTTTTTTTTTTTCCTGGGCCTGCGAGAGACAGCTCTGAGGTTGACTAATGGGGAGGATTCATGAGGAACAAGATGAAATGAGCTGCACAATTACGCTAACAAATGGAGAAGTCATCCAGTAATCGTCGGGGCATTTTGAAGTCAGGAGAGAGGGAAGCGGGTGGGGGGTGGAACATTAGGTGTCATTACAGTGGTCTGAGGMGAGGTGGAAGAGGTGGAGGGCAAAACAGTTCGCTTGTTAATTCTGACCTCCAAACAGCCGAGCAGATTTTCAATCTTCATCTTCAATAAAAAGGGGAATAAACCTGAATGGACAGCGTGTGAATGMTGAAACCAGAGAGCGTGACGTGGAAACGAAGAGGGAGTTGTCTCAATTAGACTCTCTGCACACTAAAAGCGCAGATTTATTGATGAGTCAAAGGGTTAAAAATCTGTTGAAATGGCATTTTTTTGTTATAATAAATCACTTCACTTTAAAAGCAGCTGTTAAAAGGTTAAAAAACTTCTGCTGAATAGATTGTGTTTGTAATAATAAAAGAAATCTTCATATTAAGATATTAAAACATCTTGTTGAGTTTATCTTGAGACATATTAAAGATCTGTAGAAAGAAGAAACAGTTACATTTGTTGTTTAATTTTCAGTAAAAGGGCACACATTTTCAAATTAAGATATAAAATAATGATTTGCAAAATAATAAAACTTTTAATGATACAGATAAAAAGCTTAACCTGAGATATTGGTTTGGAATAAACACTAATGTTTGTTGCTTTAAAACCTGCAGATAGCTGTGAAAAAGTTTTAAACCACTCTTCAAATCCAAATATCTGGATATTGTAATCTGTATGAATCATTTTCTGGACTTACTGAAGATCTTTTAAAATCTTTTTGTTTTTTTTAGTTGCTTTATAACTCATTTTCTGAGCAGTATTTTCCAGCACTTTGTGCAGTTTGTGCTCAAATACACTGAGAAAAACAGAGAAGTGGAAGACTAGGCCCATCAACAGCGGATTCTTCAGGTGATTATTTATTGTGTGACAAGTTTTTAGCTAATGTCTCACTGGGTATCCCATTATTAGTGATAAAATGTTTGTTTTGTGCCCAGGTTGTCTAAATAGAATCTGATTAGAAAACTTGCTTGAGCCTTTTAAACTAAAATCATCAATAAAACAAGCAATTCAATATGTCCTAAAACAGAGCCTTGTGGGACGCCCATTCTGCAGTCTTAAAAGGTTGATGTAATGTTGTTAATGGTGACATGTTCTGTTTTGTAAAACTAGTTATGAACCAATGAAGAGCTTTTTGAGAGAAATTTAACTCAAGTTTAAGAAGGTTGATCTCGTGATTCAGAGTAAAGTGTCGTTTTAGGAATAACAAACTGCATTACTCTTGGTTTAAGATTATTTAAATATTGTAGATTTTGTAAAACTCAGAGTTTTAACTCTGTTTCTATGATTTCGGCATCTTGTTGCTTCCTTTCTGCTTTGTGTAGCCGACTTTAATTTACATTTGTGAATTCGTATTTGCACACTATTTCAGTTTTGTTTTTACATCACATGCATTTCCACTCATGGTCATATTTCACAGCAGCTCGTATGCTTGAATATAAGTACCCCCCCTGAGGGAATTCCTCCTCCTCCTCCTTTTTCCTCGTGCGTCTGGGCTCACTGGACTGGACGGACTATACCACCATCCAGGAGGGAGAGTAATACCTCCCTCAGGGGCATTTTGCACACATTATCTTTGACAGGTTCATTACAGATAAGAAATGTAGAGCATACTCAGGCTATCAGCCCCAAACACAAAGGTTGTTAAAGATGCAAGAATGGGAAGAAGAAAGCAAAGGAGATTGACAAATACAGGGGAAAATATAAAGCTCCTACAGATGTAATTTATTTTGGTGTACAGAGCCGTGATGGAGCTCGACAAAAAGTCAAGGGCTCCATTTCAACAATTTGTTGTTACATAATTATAAATTCAGAAAATGTGTGCGCTCCCTTTGATACTTCAGCCACTAAAGCAAAAAGGGAGGCGCAGCTGTGCAAACATTTAAGCATAGTTTACGTTTAGGTATTCCTTTTATCTAACTAATTTTGATGTATGCTACAAGCAGGGAAGAGAGGAGTTTTGGAATCATGGGGAGGAGATTTCTGGGCTTCATGAGGACAAAATGACAAACACAAGCTTAAGATGTTGCTACAAGGAGAGAAAAGTCATTGATAACATCACACAATTATAGTGAGMGACCACCGTGTAATCCAGAACGATAGGGAGTCGCTTAACCTTTAAAGAGGGGTGCAAAAGCTTTGGCAAAAAAAAAAAAAGACTTTATACCCTCATTCTCCCGTTGCGGATGGCTGGTCCATCTTCGGCGAGACGCAAGACGAACAGGTCCATTTTGTACTCCCACCCTCCTCGGATGCTAAACCCGAAGCCCTTCACGCTCTTCTCCAGCTCCACCGTGAAGAAGTCGAAGTCTTGCGAGAGCTGAAATGGACACAGATCAAACCTGATTAGATGCTGTGAGGAGCAAATGTGGGGAAACAATCCAACTGAGATGTATAAGAAAGGCTTCAACAGCAACAATGAAGAAAAAAAAAACAATAAAACTCGATAGAAACAACAGAATATAACAGTGATTGTGTGAAAAACATGCCACAGAAATGGTCGTTGAGCATTTCTAAATTGACCCATTCACAGCTCTTAACAGCTAAATCAGCTGAAAGAGCAATTAGCTAAAATCAGCTCACCAACAAACACATTTTAATATTCTAAGTAAATAACGTAATGAGGCAGTGCAAAAWTCTGAAAGGTTTAATTGAAGCGATTAATCATCAAAATCCCCATTCAAGTGTGTAGTCGTCAAAAAGCATTAATGTGATTATTTTAAATAAATATTAAAATCACAGTCTGATCATAAAAGGTAAACATTTGGCCAAAAACAAACAAAAAAAAAAGTCATTCGCTTTTTGGTTTATGCCAAATCTAGAAGAAATCTGGCTATTTAAAATGGTATTTACTTTGTTAAATCTGCTTAATAGTGTGGTTTGTTTTGGGGTTTATGCCTGGCAGATCAAACATCACTGTCTGCAGCTGGTGGACACAAAACAGTCAAACCCAAGGCCTTAGAACCAAACAAAATGATACAAATCGTGGTTAAATTATCAACAGATGGGTGATAAATCCAGAAGCTTTCTCTTTTGCATTATTTATTGTGGTTTGACACATTAAAATATTGATTTTAAAGAAACTTTACTGCCATATTCAGTGGAAACAGATCAGAACTTATTTCATAGATGTTTGTTCTTACTTGAACTGGAGGCATTCTGTAGTCTGGGATGGCAAACTGCCTGGTGTCGGAGGCTAACTGTCTGTAGTCGAGCAGCGGTGGGTGTCTGTAGTCCAGCGTTGGCGGCTGCCTGTAGTCCGCCACAGGAGGGTGCCGATAATCTACCGGAGGTTGCCGGTAATCCGTGAAGGGTGGCTGTCGGATGTCWGGTTTCACGTCCTGCCTCGCCTTCACCTCAGACCTGTAACTACGAGACAAACCRGGCTGAAAGAAACCGCTTGCTTTGAGCTTCACAACCAGTAGTTTTCAGTTAAAGCAGGAAAACTACATTCAGGAATCTTATAAAATGTTAATGTAAAAAAAAAAAGAAAAGAAAAAAAAGATCTCCTCTGAAGTGGATGCTGAATAAAAAAACATGTGGATCTTGTGTAAAGCAGAGGGAAAGACAATGACGCTGAGGGTTTTGGACTCTGTAGTTCTTGGTAAAATATGCAGCAGATCTCTGTAAAGCRGCGGTACACGTACTGTAAATTATTCAGCAGTCCACAAAACATAAGTGATGTTACACAACAAACTTTGGGAGAAAGAACGTGAATGATGAACAGAGATAAAAAAAAAAACAGTAATGTTGGCAAAAGGAGGAAAAAGTAGACAAAATATAAGAGACAAAAAGAAAATCAGAAGAGATCAAACAAACATCTCAGTGGTAGCTGTATTCCCAGAGGACAGAAAATATTTAAAAAGCATCAGAAAATGTACAACACAACTATGAAACACATCCCAGCTCTTTGTGTTTTACCTGCCGTCGTGGGTGTAGGTCTGTGGTGGAGGGGCGGGAAGCTGGGTCACCGGGCTCTGATGGGGCACCAGGTTGGGCAGAACCGCAGGGGTGTGTGGTTCCGTCGGTGCTTGGTTGGACTGGGAGGCTGCGGGGTTGGGATGGGTCTTCGGACTGTGCTGCTGCGCCATGGGGCTCTGCTTCTCAGAGGTGGGGGCTGATGGAGGGTTGCTGACCTCTGTGATACAGAAATATATTACTTTTAGAGCGTATTTCCCTCCAACTCATGCTTCTTATTGTTTGTTTTGAGCCACTAGGGGGCAGCAGAACAAACAACTATTTTAAATTTCATCATCCGGATCAAAAATATTTCTTTGTTCTTTTGTGTTTAAACTTTTAACACTCAAAAATATGACTTTTGATGGTATTTTTATTAGACAAATCAAAAAATATATATGTAGTTTTTATTTCAAGCAAATCATATACACGGACCAAATGCATGCTGGGAACCCTGTTGACCACAAGAGAGGGTTAAGGTGAATAATGTATTTTAGTCCTGATGACTAGAAAGTAAGTATTTGCTTCTTTCATTGCTTTAATTAAAACAGCCCATTTAGAATATTTTACATGATTCTTCTCTCCTGCCTGTGAGATTGTTCTCAGCTAAATAAGTGTCAGTTTCTAAAAACGCACCTGGAGGAGAGAAAAAGCCTGTAAAAGGAGCATCAAAAAGTGATGCACAGGTGGGTCCTTTACAAAAAGCATCTGGAACACAAAATGGTGCAAATGTTTTAAAACATCTTCATATTTGACTTACAGGGAGCTGGATTTTTAAAGGGACTACTGTATATCATGTAAAATCAACTTTTTTTGAGTTTTATATCATGTTATCCTCTCATCAAAAACATGCCCAAAGTCTTACTTTGACTCATTCATGCATGTTTGAGAAATCCTGTAGTGTCCTGAGGCAGCAGGCAGGGGAGCAAAAACGATAGGTTGGGACTAGAACCGCCTCCGCATCTGGGCTGTGTCTCTAAGCYGAGCTTCCTCATCACGGAGCGCACCTCCCCACCCCCACACACCCTGCACATGACTCCTGCAGGCTCTCGGCAGTAATAAAGCAAACAACGAGTGAAACTGAAATTGTCTGCTGAGCTCCTAACGCTACTTCTCACTCAGTGAAGCTCTTTTCAGATTTAAAATACATTTGAGGAAATGTATTTTCAGATGCCAAGTAAACTGCATCATAGCGCACGCGCGAAACCCCCCCCCCCGGCMCCAAAATGGGATGGGACAGAAGCGGAAGGTGGTTCTTAAAGAGACAGAGGCCAATTTCAAGGTGTTTAGAGGAGGAAGTGATGAGAAGACAAGTTTATTTTCTATTTAAACATAAAAACAGCATTTTAATATCAATTAAAGGTGACAGATACTTTATTATGGTATAGTATTTAAATATGTGCCTGAGAAACATTATATTGCCCCTTTAAAGAATCCTTTAAACTGGTCTTGATCAATCATTTCTCCAGGTTTTTTTAAATGTCTTTGAAATATTATCTTTGGACACTGGGTACTTATTTACAAAATAAATAAATAAATAAAATTCTGTACAGTTGCTCTTAAACCAGAGAATAAAATTAGGTTTAACAATTGACAATACGAAAATACAATATTCAATAGATGAACAGTATTATAAGCATTTAAAATACATACAAAATTATATTAAAACACTGTATGGTGCCTATTTCTTGTGAGTGAAACTGTTACATTTGGCACTTTTTTAAGAGTCGTTTTTTTTTGTCCTGAATGAATCGTAGAGCTGAGTTAATATTTTAAAACATTTCTTTAATCATGGTCAGGTACTTGACAGAAAATAAGTGAAAAAAACCCTGTGAAAGTGAAAAAAACTTTGAAAGACTTATAGAAAGCCTGAAAATACAATTATCAAAACTCCAATGATGGGCTAAAAGCTAATCTAATGTTCAATTTTGCCTAAACTGCACAACATAAAATTCCCTCATTCATAAATGATCACAGACTTACGTCTTGGTTTTTGTTATTTTGTATATTAGAAAACAAAACAGTTTTTGTTTCAGCTAATACATATCAATGGTTTTGCAACAGAGTCTCTCGCAGTTTTTGTTGTGACAATGTGGGGGCTCGTCCGGGATTTTAACTCGAGATCTCTCTTTTAAAGATTACTAGAAAGTCTGGCTTCTTAGAAGCAGAATGCAATGATTCAAGACTTTTTCCTCTGCATCATTAAAAATAGTTTTCTAATAGTAATGCTTTAACTTGTATCTCTGAAGCAAAAACATGGTTACTGTTGTTTGGATAACTTTTTTCTTCCCCTAGTTCTCCCTCATAGCAGTCCATTTCTGTAAGACGAGACTAAAAAATGAGGAGAGAAATGAAAGTGTCAGGAATGTACAAATTAAGAAATGAAAGAAGTGAAATTTCATTCTTCAATGCTTTTGTTGGCTGATTACYTCCATCACTTGCCTGCCAGGAAAACAATAAGAAAATCACAATAGGATAAAAGTTGCCCAACCAATACAGACAATACAAGTCAATTAATTAGAAAGGAATTGTTTTACTGCAGAACTAATGGTCGAAGCCTCCACAAAAATATCTCCAATGTTTAATGCTGAGAATGGCAAAACAGCAGAACAATGCAAGCAGATGTAAGGAGGCAGTTTGTCCATCTGTTAATGTAGGTCAGCTGCATTTATTGTAGCAACTTTAAGCCCACTAGGAATATATGTTCGTGCCCAACAGAATCTCATTGTTGAAAGCTTAGAAGATTCTCTGAAAGCTTGAAATGATTAAAATTGTTGGGATTACCAGTGTCTTTTTAAGGAAATAACATTACATCACTGTCCGGAGCAACTTGTCCACATGTAGGGTCTGCTTACCGTCCTGTGCGATGATCCTCAGCGTGACACTCAGGCCTGCGTCTTTGATCAGCTTGACGATGTCGGCGTGTGGCATGTTGACGATGGACTGACCATTCACCGCCAGGATCCGGTCGCCCACCTTCAGCTTCCCGCAGCGGTCGGCCGGGCTGCCCTCGATGATGCGGCCGATCTTGTGGGGCACAGCTGTGGGAAAGAGAGGCTCTCAGCAGCGGATCAGTTTTATTTTTTCTTTCTTTGTTTTTTCCCCTCTCTCCTGTCCGTGCTCACACCAAACTCACTCACGGACTGACAGAATCTGTTGCTGTCTTTCTCATTCTGCAGTTCAGCCCAGGMTTACGTAAGATATCCAGAATATTTTTGTGTGTGTGGGCGAAGCACTGATGCTCACAGCAGCATAGTAGAGATGTGTGTGACTGACGTGCTGTGGAAGGATATGTATAATTGACAAGCTAGACTGAGAGATGCTTCACTTTTTATTCAGCTGTGACTAACTACCTTGTCTACTAAAGTTTGGCACTCATCTTAGTAGCAGTTAACATGCTTCTATGAGGATTCATCACCTGAAGCAGCTGTTCTGACTGACTGTAGACAAGCATCTACTTGACTCCACAACAATGACTGGACTCACTGTTCGTTGTGGCCGTTTCCGGCCGGTTCAGCGAGCTGATTATGACGAAGCCGAAGCCCTCGCTCTCCTTTCGGCTGATGCTGACGTCGCTGGGTTGCGCGTTAGCAGTTGACGTCCCGTCTGAAACRGCAGTGGCGTTGCCCATGTTGGTGCCGGGAGCCTGGGCTGTGCTGTTCCCATACGTAAAGTCGCTGCGCGGGGAGCTGTGCTGCGTGGAGACGGAGCCCGAGCTTTGGCCGTTCTTCGGACAAGACTCGCCTGCAGGGGGTGGTAGAGAACTTAGCTGTCTGTCAAACAGGATGATGATGCCAACAARTCAGCAGATTGAATCATCGCTATGTATTTGAGCAAAATAAGGCAAGTTCATTTTAGGTAAACTTTTACGGGAGCATAAGAAGTGACATTATAGAGGTTTATGTAACAGAAAACAGTCATTTTGAACAAAAAGGTACTAATACAGGTACTAGTAAAGTTTCGTATTTTAACATTAAGATTGCATTTTTTGTAATCATAATTTGTTTGTTTATAATGTAATGTTTATGAACTTTTAGCATCACTTATTAAAAAACTAAAGTGAAAGTATTTATGTATTTGTGTAATTCTGACAGTTCAGATTAGAGAAAATCTACAACAAATTAGGGCTGCCACGATTAATCAATTAACCGACAACTAATCGATTATTAAAATAATCGATAACTAATTTAATAATCGATTAATC